GAATAAAGACTTCTGAGTTCCGGTGCACTTGTGCGTGCGGGGGTCATTATGTTACCGCCATGCTGTGTCTAGTTTGTTTTTCTCTAATGGTGTCATGAAGTAACATATTTCTACTATAAGAAATTTTCTTCCTGAAGTTGACTTTTGATTCACAGGTTCTTATTCTTTTATGTCTTTTTTAGGTAAAAGTTATCACATAATGTTCATCTACTATAGATGGTTTTACATTTTTACCCTTCTTTTGTCCACCACTTGTTTACACTCCTCAATTTTGCACAGACTGCACTAAATGTTGTCATGGTCCGGTACACGGTCTCAGCAGAAGAACAGTCAGGAAAAAAAACTTTTCAAGACTTTACATTAGTTTGTTTCTTTTTGTTCATGGCTCAGCAAAAAGGACAAAACAGTTGATGCTATTAATAGTCAAAAATACAGTAAAAATACTTTTTTTCTTCTGCACTAAWATAAAATCCTAAATGTGTTCAGACAGAAAGTTTGGAGTGAAGGCACGTTTGAGCGGAGGTCTGAACGTCACTGTGAATCTAATGAAACATAATCTACTGAATACAAAACTACTTCTGCCCTGTCTTCAGGTTCTCAGGGTGTACTCTGCCAACTGTGAGTAAATGAAAATCTATGGAAGAAAATCCAAGAGARAGAATATATAATGTTTGTCGCTAATTTTGCTCTACCTTTTCCTAAGATTGTATTTTTTTTTTGTTTGTTTATGTGAAGCTGTGAACGCAATTACATTGGGGAAGAATGGTGTGGTGGAACTTATGTTCAAGATTGTTGCACCATACAGCAAAAAGAACACCAGCCTGTTAAAGTGAGTGTGTTTCTTATGTAACTACATAAAGTGATTGCTAAGTATTTAGAAACCAGTGACATCCACGCAGGCTGCACCACCATGGCCTTTTTCCAGCAGCATATTATTGAGCATCTGTTACTGACGTCTGTTTGACAGACCATGTAACCCGTTTGCCTTGTTTCAAAATCAACAGGGTAGCTCTGGACGCACTGGGAGCTCTGCTCAAATCCAGTGAGTAATTAGCTTTGTAGCTTTAAGTGTACTGTACTCAGTAATATTTTTATTTACAGCGTCATGCAATTTAGTCCATCTTTTTTTAATCCTATCAATTTAATAAAGTTCTGACTTTTTCTGAGCCAGAATCTGTAATAATTTATTCAACTTGCATTTCAAATTAGTTAAAACCACTAGCTGTCCTATGTTTGACCACTTTGTTTAATTTCCATTCACCATACATGTCATCTTGTYTCACGGTAGCAAAGTGATACATGCCAATATATTTGCTTCGTGGACTCCTTCCCTGCGTAGAAACGAATGCTCGTCGTGCAGTAGACGGTGGCTTTGTTCCTGTCTTGCTCGCTCTGTACCTGGATTGGCATCGCAACGACACTCGCCATCGCCATATGGTGATTCGTAAAGGGCTGCTGGTCTGCCTCCGAAACATTACCAGCATCAAAATCGGCAGGAAGGCATTCCTAGAAGCCGACGGCATGAGGATTCTCTACAACTCATCCACTGTAAGTTAGACAATATGAATAAGACAGAGTTTTATAACATGTTATGATGTCATTCCCACATCAAAAACATATCCAGAGTGTTGCTTTGAATCGTACATGCATGTTTGAGAAATCCTTGACTCTACTGTGGTAGCCATGCTGCCTAAACACTTGCTGGTACAAAGCTCCCCCTATTTACACAAAGCTCCTCCCTGGAGCTCAGTCTGCAGCTGAACTCCTGCCCCACAGAGCAGCCTTCCCCTGAAGCACTGTGAACAGGTGCTGAAGTGGGAGTTAGGGTCGGTCGATTATTGCCAAAAATTATAATCTCAATTTTTTTTAATTGAAATTGAGATCTAGATTATTTAACAAAATTATTCATTCACTTCGATAACATGAATTTATTGAACATAAACAATGGCTGTTAAATAATGTTTCCCTCAGGATTTCAAATATTTTTGAGAAAATTAGACAAAAATTTCACTTTGTCTGTGAGAGGAGCCTGCAGCATAGTGCTGGCAGTGGCACTGGATTAACAACACAAAACAGCGTAAATAGGTAAATAAAAGCTTTTTTATTTTTCTCAAATTTATTTTTTTCCTTTTTTAGTTTTCTAAATTCCACTTTTTTTCCTTTTCCCCCCTGAATTCCACATTTTCATTGTAACCTTTATTTATTAAACTAAAAAATGCGTAATTAAAAAAGTGACTGAACAATAATTAAACAAATAAATAGCTACAGAAAAAAAATGCCTGTTATTCCACTTTAATATAACAAAGCAGTGTTTCAGTAGAACATTAAATTATTTTTTGAAAGGTGTTTAAAAGTATTTACTAGGAAAAAACCTGTAAAACAGAAGTTATCTTTTGTGAAATAAAAATGTTTTAGAATTTAACTTAACATATGTCATAAAGACACATAAAACCTACAAACAGCAACTGAATAGGATCTAAGCTCATTCACTTCTGTAATGTAAGGTGACGTACACACACACACACACACACACACACACACACACACACAGTTTGCAGTGCTTTATCAAAAAAACGGACAAAGCTTTTTCATTTATTCTAAAGGAATATCTGCACACACAACAAAATCTTGGATAAACTCAAACCTGGACTCCCACTTCACTTCTGAGTGTTGAGTTTGCAGCGTCTCTCAGCTTGTGCCCCTCTGTCGTCTTCACAGCATCCAGCCCGTCATCTGCTAACAAAACTTGCAGAAAAGTTCTTCTGCTGAAAAACAAATAACCACTGTGGTATTGTTCTGTCCTAAACTTTTTTGCTAGCGTCATATTTTTGGATGACGTTGCTTTTAGTGAGTTTGTTTGTTTGCCTTGCGAGTCGCGGATGCAGCTTCTTTTTTTATTTTTCCCTTCTCCTGTGTCGGGAGGGGTGCTCAGAGCTCACCCCGCATTCCTGTTACCAGTTAACGGCAGGTACAGTGAGCAGCAGCAGTCAAAATACCTCAGAAACTCACCCTAAGCAAATTTTGTGAGATTCTACATTTTACTCTGGATTGACTGGATTCTGTCCGCGTTTTTTGCATCACGGAAATTATACGGCCCTACGTAAATTGCAAAACTCGATCATTGTGTTTTTATGATAGTTGAAAACCCAAATCGTTATCAAGATCAAAATCCGATTAATCATCCAGCCCTAGTGGGAGTGTCGGAAACAATGGGAGGTTCTTAAAGAGACAGAGTTCAATTTCAAGGTGTTTATATAGGCTATAATGCAAAGCCAAATTTATTTTCAAAATATACAGCATTTTCACAACAACTGAAGGTAACATAGTTACTGGATTGTGTTAAAGAATTGAAGATGGTGCCTGGAAAATGCATATTAATATCCCCTTAAATCCAGCAACACACAAACTGGAACACAGCTACACTTTACTTTTTGTTTTTTGTTTTTAGGAGTGTCTCCCTGTGCGTACTTTGGATCCTCTGGTTAACACTTCAAGTCTCATCATGAGGAAGTGTTTCCCCAAGAATCGTCTGCCTTTAGCGACTATCAAGTCAGCCTTCTGCTTCCAGCTGCCTGATGTTCCTGCTGGGGGGCCTGTGGCACAGCTGTACAACCAGCCGCCTGGAGGTGAGAACAGCACTCATAAACTCACACACACACACACACCTCACTGGCATGTACACAACTTTTTACACTTTTTTCACGTCCTTCAGCTATTTTTGTTGCAAGTCATTGATACTAAACCTCTTCCTCTGATAACCTAAAGACATGTTTTTTGTAGAATTGTTCCCTCAGTCTAAAATAGAATGTGTTCATTACACAATATTTAATTTATTGCACTTTGCTTACTTAAATTATAAATGTAGCCGTCTGCACACAATTCTTTTTGAGAGGAAATTAGTTACAGTATGTACACCATATTGATCAGTAAAGTGGTATCTGTTGTTAAATTCTAAAAGCATGTTTATGATTTTACTAACCCGACCCAAGAGATGTGTATAAAACTCTTTATATTAACATAACATTGATTTCACCATCAACTCAATGTGTAGACRTCACAACAATAGTAAGTGAAGGGGACGTGTCCCCCCAACTTTTCAAAATTATCTATTTGGACCCCTCCACATTCATCTCATCAGTTCACCCAGCGCTGTTTTTGTTAAGCGACTTGATGAAAGAATCCATTCCGCTTGATTGAGAGGAGAAAACTCATCACASTAAAMGTCTGCTCYGGGTTTTCCTGGTTACCTCCAGTCAGCACCAGCATCAGGTACCAGGTAGGAGCGAGCAGCCGGAGGATAGATGACTGGCTTCGGACTTCCTGCATCGGGTTAGACGAGAGGAAGATGACAGTGAACTCCCGGTGCGCAAATATTCAACCTAAAACTAACTTCTAGCTGCTTCTAGAAGGCAGTGTGTGTGATTGTATCCCTCCACAGACACACAACATTAGGAGATTCTTTATAGAGAAACAGAAAATAAGTTAAACTCTCCACAGAACAGATTTATCCTGTGTAAAGTTAATGCAGTTAGCTGCTGACTACAGTTAGCTTACATATCACCACCAGTTATTGCTGTAATTTACAGCATCTGCTAAAGTACAGAGTGATCAGCAAGAATAACATGATCTCATCAGAAGTATATTGGGTGATTTKATTAAAGTATAAAATGATTGCATTCTAACGTATTGTGAGATTTTTTATCTTAGAATAGTTTCAGCATAAAACARAGCTTGGTTCATGTCTGAAAACTTTAATAATCAGATGATGGCACTGTTGACTCACAATCACTGATGAAACCAGACCAGATAGTTCATCTGTTATTTATTGATCACATTTCATGATATTTTCTGACGTTTTAAAGCTGACTGACTTCAGCTGGCAATAAAAAAACCTAATATTTAATCCGTCTTCATGTTATGCAGGAGCTGATGAGAGTCAGGGTCAGCAGGTAGGGACAGCACTGTGGCTCAGGTGAGTGATGATGATGAAGGTGCTGCAGGGAAATTATGAATGAAATCTAAAATGTTTACTCAAATCAGTATTTATTTTGAATCCATGGCAGACAGTTGTGGGAAGTTTATAAAATACATTACTGATTTAAAGGCATAATCTACAGCATAAATAAACAGAATTTAAATATATTTTGAACAGTATAAAAATGATGGACTTATTAAAATTTTCCACTTTAATGTGAAAGTGGAAGTGGTAGAAGTTGAGGTGGTACCAGGGTAGGAAGGAACGTGTAGACCTATTTTTGCCTTAATAATTACATGCAGATTGACGAAATTAACAAATGCTTTTTGTTTTATTTAATTTTTTGTCACCATAACACAGTGTCATTTTATGTTCTGAAAGCTGCATGATGCCCTGTTCCTTTTGGTTATGAGTAAACTTATCACTAAATCATAAAAACTGAAATGCCCCTCTAAATCACTGTTGGTGGTTATCAATATTGCACCTGTTCATTGGGTAAAGTTGTTATTAGTTTTAAACTTGCAGTTAATGGTCATTTATTGACACAATGACATGTTACATTTTAAAATAAATCAAGAATAAACAATATGAAAGTGAAAGGCACCCCTACAGTCACTGGATATGTTAAACTGTGTCACATTAATTAGCCTTATCTCAGCTGTAGCAGTGAGTTTTAAACAAAATGATAGAACTAGTTTAATGAAGAATCTGTCTCTGAAATAATTAAATCAAGTGTTTATTTATGTTTGTAATGGTATGTTTAAGAACCTGGTAAAAAAAATACCAGAATGCAGGAAATGGCATCTATTTCGTTCAAAATTTTCTGGGGGACGACCCCCAGACCCCTCCAACAGTGTCCCCCCTCCCCCAACTTTTAAAATGTCAATACATAATTTTTTTCTTTTACTATCAAAGCAATTGGTCTCATTTATGAAAAAAAAAAAAAAA